AATAAAATACAATAATAAYTCATATTATTCATATAATAAAGCTATTTTTAAAAAGGTGTTTAAATACACTACTACACAAACTTACATTGTTTTCAAAGATTTACCTGAGCACAGCAAGCAACATCAGAATGACSTATGAACTATAAAAGAACAGCTAACAGTTATCTTCTGCAGCAGTTTGGCACGTGCTGACCTATGCCCTCAATTTCCACAATTCCAAAAGGACGTTTACAAGGCTGAAGGMAGAAGCAAGGAAGTATTTGTTCTTGCTTTCAACAGTAAATTCACCTCCAGGATAACTATGAGGAGTCATAATCCCTTGCTGCTTTAGCTCCCCTAATTCTCAAAGGCAGCAGCAGCGGCAATAAATCTCACAGACAGAGCAAGCAATCCTGCAAGCTAGACCATGGGGTTTGCTAAAAGTTGATTACCCCAAGTAAGTCGAGTCTTTAACTGCACATTTCACATCCTTATGGAGAGCTCGGCCTGCCACCTCTCTTAACACCATCACACCCTTGGGAAGGTCTCAACTACTGGAAAAGACTAGTGCTTCACAATGGGATTACTCTTGTGTTCAGGAAAAAATATATAAACAACAACCATACCGAAAACCGCAGCTCTGTCCCAAACCATCTGCTAGTTAATAGAAAGACTTCTCCACCCTCCTCTGTTCTTGCCATGCGTGTTCTTGCCACGCTCTCCAAGTGATTACTCGATGGCTCATTAGAGACCATATTCTCTTCAGGAGAATATTCTCTTCAGTATTTAACCTTGCTTGCATTTCCCAGATACACTACCTGTGCATCCCAGATGCTCCACCTGTGGCTAGCTGTACTTGGGGAATCAATAAAGACTTTTTCCTCAAAGATGCTTATAAAGTGAAGATTTCCCTGTAAATAGGCATTTATGCATAAACTAAGATGGATGAATCCTTATTGCACAATTCCCATTACAGTAACATCCAGCATCTCCCCATTGGGACCCTTGGGACTCTAACACACGGAGCACAACAGCAGTGAAAACATATTTCAGAGAAAAATGGACTTTTTTAATAGTGATAAATAACGCAGCTATTCACAACGATAGATAAATGCAAGAAAGAGCTCCAAGGCTTGCTTGCAGAAATCTGAGAAGAAATAGACCTCTCAATCTCTTCAAGCTAGAATTGCTTTGTGATTATCCGTGTTAAAGTTCTAAGACTTAAATTTGCTTTCCAGAAGTAATGGGAGCAAATCTGCTTTTATAACTTCAGAATCCAAAGTTTTCTGGCTATCAAACTACAGCAGTTCTGGTCTGCTGATCGTGAGCACTGGAGTGCTCTCAATCCACCACACAGAGGGGAAAGCAAACACCAGGAGAATGCCCYAACTTCTCTACTTCTCTTCTTTTTTCAGGATAGCCTCAGAGCGGGCATCCGTCCAGAGTTAATCATTCTTCTCTGAAGTCTTTTGTTTGTTTGTTTGCTTGGTTATTCTGGCTCAGTATAGTCAAAGTGCTCACAAATATAAACTTGTATTTTCTCTCTCTTTTCCCTTTTAATTATTTTAGTAACTTAATGATTGAAACAAAACTCACTCTCCCATTTGTAACTGTACCATATTTACAAATTATTTATTCCCCTAATTCTTGGTTTTGTTGTAAACTGGAAATCCAAGTGTATCTTTGCTAAGCATTTCTGCTGAAGCGGAGAACAGACAGAAGAATAGAAGCAGAGAGTAGACTGMAGCAGATCCAGATTATGCTCTGAAGAGGACTTGAGCCTTTAGTTAGCTCACTGGGGTGCCCCAAGGCTAGCCCATCTTTTAACAAGATGAACAAATAACCTTCCAACAAGAAGTTTTCCTTTTTGCTTGCAAATAACAGAAACAAAGCCTGGGGAAAAGGCTGAATAATCCTCCACATTCAGTACTCTCACACAAAAGCAAATTAATTGCAAAAAAAAAAAAAAAAAAAAAAAAAATCTCCACTCCAACTATTACCAATTCCAGAGGAAAAATCACTCTTTAAGTCTCCTTTGGTCGCATGACCAGCAGTTTTTAAACCAGACACTTGGGAGGAACGATGAAGCCCAGCACTAGTGCAGACAAGTACACGGGGCATTCACCGTTTACTTGCGCCAGGGATGTGCTCGGCACATTCATGTCAAGCGACGAAAATGCAGAGCTTCCTCCAGCCCCGAGGCAATTGATACTGTTTTTCTTCATTATTTACAAACAGGGAAAAATCTGAAAGCCRGACCTGCTGTTCAGCCAACTGATGGAAACTGGCTTTACTGCAGCTTGCTTTTGTTCTTCTTTGAACAACCGCTTGAAGCCACTAGTTTTGTGATATTAGGATAAACAAACGGATTTTGAACGGTCTAACGGCGGGCASAGGCGCTCTCCTTGCCCCGCTCCCGGGAGCGGGCACGGCCAGGCGCCCCCGCGGTCCCGTTTCGGGTGCGAGACGGCGGCCGGGGGCGCGGGACGAGGCGCTGCCGCTCGCCGCGGAGCGCACGGGGCGCCCCGTCCTCCTCCTGCTGCTGCTGCTCCCCGGCAGCCGCCCCTCTCCCCCGCGGCCGTTAACGGTCGCCCCGCGCGCGCGCGCCGCTGCCAACGGCCGCAGCGGGGCAAGGCGGCGCGGGCACCGTGAGCCCCCGCCGAGAGGCRCCCGCGGAGGGAGGGAGAGAGGGAAGGAGGGGAGCACGGCGCGGCTACCTGCCAGGGGGGCGCCGCCGCTGCCGCCGCTCCGAGGCGAGGCGGCGCTCAGCGCTCGGCGGCAGCGCAGCGAGGCAGCCGCGGGGCAGAGGCGCCTCCACAGCGCGCCGCAGCAGCGGCGGCAGCTCCCGCCTGCCAGCATGGCCGCTGCCAGCCCTGCCGCCCGCCGGCCTGCGGCAGGTGGGCACGGGGCACTGAGACGGGGAACCGCGCAGCGGGGCAAGAGTCGCGAAAAGGTGCCCGCTGATGCGCAGCGCGCATACGCGACCCGCAGCCACCGCCGCGCTCTGCGGGAGCGCGAAATTGTTCCCGGGCGGCGGGAGCGCGCAGGCGCAGTGCGCCCCGCGCAGCGCCGTCCCGTCCCGGGTCCCACGCAAAACAAAACGTGCGGGAGCCCTTTTGCTGCAGCAAGCTGTGCTTTTGCTGCTATGTCATCCCGAATAAGCGGTCAACAGSATAAAAAGTATAGGAGGATAGACCCTGGAAAACCCATCCTGAGACCAGAGGCTCTTGTAATAGTTGAAGGAACTATTAACGATCTTCTGTTGCTCCTCTTACGGGGTAGGACACAGGTGGCTGGCCTTAATAAGCAGGGAATGTGCTGCAGATGTTGCACCAGTGACTCCACTTAGCATTTAAGTGGGACCTAAACCATCAGGTTTTATACAAATCACAACAGAGGTTTTTATTATTAATAATATTTTTTTTTTATTGTGGAAACTAGTTTCTGGGCAAATCAATGCTTCATAGATAAAAACCAGTATYTCCAGTTTGCTATAGCATGAATACTCAACACTGCCAAGATGGGATGTAAGCAAAATACCTCACAACAGCTTTCCATGTTTACAAGTTAGGGAGCTGCACCGCCTGCCAGTTGTTACATTGACTAACATTTGTTACCAGCACTATATAGACCATCTGTGTTAGTTTTGCTTTAAGTTGCAACGTTATTTGCACTGTATGCTCTTCCTTTCAGATAAGTATCAATGGAAGGATTAGCTTCAATGGATGTTTTAGGTGATTCCTCCCTAAGTGCTTTCACATTGTTTTTAGATTGTGTTAGGATAGTGCAGAAGGTTCGTTCTGTGGAAACTGTAGTGTCTTCTGCTCTGTAATGGGATAAAGAAGCCCTTGTGAAAATTCAGAATTTGTTTTTGAGAAATACACTGTGAGGATGATGGCTGCATCTCAAGAATAGATAAGTCTTCTCACTGCTTGAAAATAAGTATTATAAATAGCACAGAATTTAAAAAAAATGCTGCGTGACCAAGGTCTTTGAAAGCTGGGAAGAACCTAGGAAATATATTCTTGGTGGCTGGACTTGCTATATGTAGTAAAGAGGATGCTTATAGCTGTAGAAGCAGCTAGCGTTTGTCTACAAGAAGAAACCCACTGGCAAAACTTTCCCAATATGTTTTTTGGGATGTGTGTATGTGTAAAACTTTCCCCACATGTATGTAATAACAGAATCTATTTCTAATTAGTTATTTAGATTTCTAATTAGCCAAGTCCTGTGTTGAGTTCCAATGCAGTGCGGGGCATTTCCCCTATGTAGTGCCTTATGCTACTGGAAGAGTTGTTCTGAAAACACTATTTAACATTAAATTGTTGTGTGTGCTAGAAATGGGATGTGCTGTGTTGCACAAATGTAAACCTAAAATCTCTTTCCTTTTTTTCACCATGTATTTTAGGATTTACACTAATATAGCAAAGAGCAGAACTAGAATACATAGCTAGTAACAGTTATGTAGTTTAAGCTTCTGTTGGTAAATATGATGTTCTCCTTCAAATGAATGTTTCCCCTCAGTTTCATATGTGTCTCATTGCTAGGTCCACCATTCTACTTTAGAGATGCTGGCAGTTCAAACCAACTTAAAAAAAAATACATTTGCATTTTTTTCCTCTTTTAAACGTGTTGTCGTGCGTGTTTTTAATTGGGGTTACTGTGATGTGCGCAGTATTTGCAGGTTTGTATCCTCAGAGGCTGTTCAAGACGGCACGTGGATAGAGACATCCGAGGTGCCACGGAAGGTTGGGCGACTACTTATTCAACAAAATATTCGTCTAACGAAGATTCGTTCGGTTGATTTTTGGGCAGGGGCGACGTTGGCAGCGGCCGTTGGGCGCCGCGCGCGGGCACCAACGGTCGCGGTGCTCCCCGCTCCGTCTTCCCCCGGAACCTTGCGAGCGCGGAACCTCCCGGCCGCGCGCCGGGGGAAGGGCTGGGAGGGCAAATAGAAGCGGGGCGCGGCCGCGAGGCGAGGCCGTTGCGCAGTTATATCGCGSTCCGCCATCGCGGGCCCCATGTACCGGCAGGGCCTCCGCCCGGCCACGCCGCCGTACGCGGGCAGCGGCGGCAGCAGCGGCGGCGGCGGCGGCTTCCGCAGCCCGCCCGCCGGCCCTGTGCCGCCCTCGCCACGCGGCTACGGGAGCCCCCACCACACGCCGCCCTTCGGCCCCCGGCCCGGGCCTTACGGTGGTGGCGGCCACCTCTCGCCGCGAGGCTTCCGTGGCGGCGGGCGCTTCGGGAGCCCTTCGGCGGGGGGCCAGACGCCGTGCAGGCCGCAGAACGCCAGCCCCCGCTACGCGGTTCCCTACGGCGGCAAATCCCCGGCCGGAGCTGCCCAGCACCCGCAGCAGCACAGGCGTTCGCCCGGGGGCTACCAGAGGCACCACCAGGTATGGGGAGAGCSGTGAGGGGGACAGGCCTGCGTCTCCACAGGGCTGGGAGGGGTGGGCGAGGGGAAGCATCAGCTCCGGCCTCCAGCTTGGCTTTCATAGGACAAATAGGCTTGCAGCACACAGAACAATTTGCAGCCTCCCCCAGCCGTAGAGAGGGAGAAGAGACCCTGAGTCAGGCACTTGGAATTGGGAAATGCTGCTCAGGAAGGGAAACAGGGCCTCAGGCCTGTCTGAGTCCTCAAGCTAAGTGCAGCTTTCCTCCTTTTCATATTCTGATATGTCAAGGTGGAGAGAAAAATACCAAGTGTTGCTCAAAACTGCAACAAACATCTTTCCCTTACAGCCCTTGGATCAGTTCTCTTTCAAATAGCAGGGAGAAGGTGTATGCTTTAATTTTTGCCTCTGATGTCATAGGTAATGAAAGCTGCTATGTATGCTCACGAGGCTTCCTCGTGATAGGAGAAAAGTAAGGAAAGCTCCACTAAAGGATGCTTAAGCAGAAGTTCCTTTAAACTGAAATAAGAGCATCTGTTGGATAATAGAGCATCTACCTGAAGTTTTAAGTATTGCTAGGAGGGTTTTCATTTAGATAGTTTCCCTTAAGAGTTATAAACAACAAGCTCGGGGACTTGTTTCACTCTTCAGGTGGTGTCATTGGGGAGTGTGATTTGCAGTGAAGATAAGCATGACAGTTCTTGAGSTGATGTCAACCTTATGTACATAACTGGCTGTATGCAATATTAAAAAAAAATTAAACCAAAGGGGTAAGAAATGATGCTTGCAGTACAGACAGTGGTAGAATTTCCAGATTCTCTTCCTGATACTTTAAGGAAAGAGTAATAATGAAGCTTAATCTTTCTATAGTTTAATAAAATGCAAATTGACCTTTCAATTCAGAAGATATATAATGTGATAGCGATCTCATCACTGGTGGAAGAGAATCATAATGGAAGTTAGACGTTTTCTTCAATGCGCTAAGTTCTTCCAGCACAGAGGCATGCAAGTTGTTTAAACTTACATGTCTRTTCAAAAGGGCAAAGGATGTGGGGGTTCCTGCCACAGTAGTACCTCCTTTTTGTATTAAAATGGCTTTGACACATTTTGGAGGGATTTTAGTCACAGATATCTAATGTACTTGCAGAAGATGGCTCATTCTTTATTCACTTAAGTGTGCTTTTTAGAAAGCCTTCCTCAAGCTTATGGAGAGAATATGCAGGAATCTTTTTGCCTGTGGTTTTAGCCAGGAGTATTTTATTTTGTAAACTCRGGGCAGACAGTCTGTGTGTCTCCATCCTTGACTTTAAGGAATATAGCAGCAACATGAAGGTTTGAATTTAGTCACAGGCTAACRCAGACTGTCACAACACCTTCCTTTTTCCTCTCCCTGCCTTCATGGGCAGTTTACAGGTATTGGCCAAGTTGTGCTATTTTTCCATAGCAGGAGGATGTTCGCATTTTTGCAGCCTCACCAAAAGTCACCTAATGTGTATGTATTTATACACTTACACACATTGAAGGTTTTGGCTGGGAGAAGAACAGACACATCATGGAGTGGGAGGGGAAATCTCTTAAAACACGATTCCCTGTTTTGCATGGGCAACACTACCAAASATTTTGCAGACACCATCAAAGTTTTCTTTTTCTGGCTAGCTTCAGGTAAACCTTCCATTGCAGTGGAAGACAGCGTCCCTACAAAGTAGTGCTTGTCTAGCTCCGTCAGTATAACTTTGGTCAGAGCTTTTGAGCTAGTGGTGGCAAATGCAACTCACCTCCAGGTGCCRCATGTCACAGTCTGGACATGCCCGTCACGTCCTGTAAAAATTAGGCCTTCRTGATAAGAGAAACAAACTGTTTCGTAAAGACTTCAGTAATTGTGGTAGAGAATCCCAGAGCATGAATCCATGAGCAGATTTAGTGAGAGGGGTTTTATTGCACACTCTAAATTTTGTATTTGTTTGATGCAGTAGATTGGTTTTTGCTTTTTCTTCTATAGACTACATTTTTAAGAGAAATATAATGAAGTTTATATCACTACTCTTATCTTTAAGACTAAAATACTGGAGATTAAAATACTTGGAGAATAAAATCTCAAAGTGAACCTTTAAAATCTCTTATCAGGAAACACAAAGCACAGTTAATACTTACTTGGGAGTTTTATGTCATGTCATTAGTATTCTGTGCTCATATTTTGCTTGTAGTCTTGTGCTTGTAGATTTTCTAACAAGGACCAGTACCCTAGAGGAAAAAACATACCTTAAAAACACTTTTTCAAAATGGCTGTTTTTAACTTGTGGCCAGTACTTAACTTAGCTTTTTCTCTTTCCACAGACGTTTGCCTACTTCTAAACTTTATGTTGAAAAGTTTGAAGTTTGTTGAAAGTCTTGAGTATAATCACTTCTTAAAATTAATGTAGAAGTGGCATTTCCCATCCTGCACTGAAGAGCAGCTAGTGAAACAGTAGCTAGTTATGGTGATGGTTCAAACATTGYTTAGAAGGTACCAAATCTTGCACAGTGTCAGAGCCAGGGTTTCTGCATCTTTGTGTGTCCACGAGCAGCTAAAATGACACCCTTTGAAGTAAGCTATAAAGAGAGAAGTTTTTCCATTGCCAAGGCAAAATTACCACATTTGTTAAGAAACACAGAAGGCAATTCCTTTCCTGTTTAGAAAGATCTGTCTGGAAAACGTATGCATTTGTGTTGTATACGCATGTATATACATATATACACATACATATTTATATTGTATTGCGAATAGATTTTTTTTTTTTTTTTTTTTTTTAAGGAAAAGTCAATGACAAATCCCTGGCATCAGCAGAGATTTAGAGCAACTGTAGTGACAGTAAAATACAAAGTTTTTGTAGCATGTATCTGTCACCAAACTGGTTTCTTTTTCCTGAAAATAGTGTTACCTGCACAGTTAGGGCAATGGGTTTCCTTTCTTCACGGGCCTATGATGTAATTGCACACCTTTTGATTATTTTTCTTCTCCTAAGGGAAAAAAAAAAAAAGGCATATAATGACTATCACTATCAAGATGAATCAAGAAATTAATTAAAAAGGAAATTAATATCCCATACTTAAAACATACCTGAATTTAATGCTATTTGGAAAGAGTCATTCTTGAGTTGCATAGTAATACACTTCTTAGATTTCAAGTATACAAATAGATCTGGATTTCTGATGCCCTGCATTATACATAGTGAAATTTAATATTATAAAATAAATCCATCCAAAATAAAATAATCATTGATTTATTTTTTTCTCCCATTGGATACTGCAAATCCAGTTATGTCAGGTTGTCTTTCTTCCGAGTGCTTCAAACTGGATGTAACATGGGAAAAAGACTCCACATGCAAGCTGTCTTACTATATAAAAGTTACAGGATCTCTACTAAACATGATGTTTTAATCAGTTACATTTTTAAAGATATAATGCACTGTTTAGTACTTTACTACTCTTCTGAGTACTTTCAGGGCATGAATATGACTTTAACAAGTGCATACTGACTTGCTCTAGGAACTCCCTGTCCCTTGGAAAGTTCTTACRTGTAATCTGAGGTGATGCTGTGATCTTTTCCTTTTGGTTTAGATGCCTTCAGAGTACCTGATGGTGATTTTTAACAGTTGAAACTGTTATCTTAGTGGTATTATCTAATTGTACTAAGAAAGATTAAAGCAAAGGTCTTGTAAATTAGACTTGGATATTTCTGTGTTTGGCTGTATATCCATTATCATCAGCATTTAGAAGTTCCAAGCCCCTCTGTTCCTGGGGCCGTATGACTAGACTGCTCCTGCTGCAGCAGGTTTTCAGAAATTGGTGTAAGATTAGTTAGTCTGCAAAAAATTCTGGCCTGCCCAAGCGTAAGGGCCTTAACTGTATGGGGCCATTTCTTAGGTTTTTCCATATATGTGTGTGTGTATATATGTATTTTCCTCATCAGCCTAAATACAGAAATCTGACAGGGCTTATTAGTCACACTCAAACACCATGCCCTCTGGTCCAAAAAGCCAGAAAATTAACCCTTTAATCCGTGTTTTTACTTTTCTTTATAAAGGCCAATGCTGAACTGGTTGAAACAAACCAACTCAAATACAACTTCCTCTTCTACATATATAAAAGCTCTTTTTTTTTTTTTTTAAAGGCACAGCTGCATCTCAAGGTACATTGAGATGGTACATATAATTTTTTTGATCTTTTTGTTTCAAAGTATAATGAGTGCAGCCTTGTGTGATTCTTGGCCTCCTGGCTTGGAGGAGTATCTTCTCTGCATGGGTACCTCCTGCATATATTGAAAGATGTCATGACCTTCAGGAACTATCACTTTAGTGATCAAGGAGGAATAGGAAGACTTTGGAATAACCAGCAAAGCTATATTGGCCTATGCAGGAGACTRTAAGAGTGCCAAAAGAGATATTATTTACCATGTTACCAAAGAAACACTTAAATGGAGCAGTTCAGGAACATTGGTATAGATTACACATCATGCTTAGATAAACCTATATTCAATTTAGACTTTCTATGCATTRGTTATTTAGAGACTGTTTGGGATCTTGACCCAAAAAAGTGCTTTAAAGGGATAACTTTTGAAGCTACTCCAGCTCTCTCCTGTTTGATTTTAGGTATTTACAAACTTGTAGGGTGTAGGAAAAGAAACAAATCTGCTACTCTGAAAGGCTGAGGTAGCAAACCAGAGGAAAAGATCAATGGATGACACTTACAGGAGAAAGGGATTACAGAAATTTACATCACGGCCCTCTTAAGATCCCAACAGGTTTGTAGACACAATTGTGGTTGTTCTAAATCTTCAAAGTAATTCAAGCTGCAGGTAAAAGTTTTTTTCCTTCCATGTTATTGCTGCTTAATCATTGATTACAATGGTAGCACCATCCAGCTTTGCATATCAAAAGAAAATTATCTGCTGTCRAATTTTGCAGAATACTAATTTGGTTAAAACAGCGTCATTTTCACAGTAAGTTCACCAATAAACTTGRGGCATTTGTAGCTGTTGGATTCATACAGTGCAGAGTATTATATATAATTACTTATCTGGCTTTTGCTCTTGGAAAATATATTAACTCCCCCTCAGCTTCTGTGTTCTGTTTTGTTGATCTTTGTGTTAGGCATGTTGCTGACTTAGGCAGCTTGAAAACTAGCATCACGCTGCCTTTTTTTTTTTTTTTTTTAAAGGGACATTTTGGAGAAGACTTTAGTCTTGGTACATCACCATTCATAATTTACAATATAATAAAATAATAAAGCTGGTATTTTCAAGGAGTAGTAATTATTAACAGAAAAACTTCAAAGTACTACTACGTTAGAAGGAAGCTTTYTTTTTTTTTTTTTTTTTAGTTTGAATTAGACTATTGAATGTTTCTTTACCTGATGGTTTTCTTCCAAAGGGATCACCCAGGACATCTACTCCATTTGGTACAGCGCATGGCAGAGAGAAAAGAGTGTCTAATGATGTGGAAAACTATTACAGACCTTCAATGCTTGAGGACCCATGGGCTGGCCTAGAGCCAGTTTCTGTTACAGACATAAACCAACAGTACAGCAGTGAGCGAGCAACATATACTGGTAAAAAAGGGAGGTATTTCAGTTAACAGTTTTTAAGGCCAAATAACTCCATCTTGTCAGGAAAACTTTGGGACAAAGTCTTTACACTTAATACAAGATGAACAGTATCAAGACCTCAGTTTATGCTTTTATTTGACCACACGTCCACCCTTTTATCCAACTCTTTTTTTATTTCATCGGATATTTTTATGTATGGGAAGGGAAAAGGAGTGGTAGGATAACTTACGTTTCTGGCTACGTGGAAGTGCCTACCAGCTTTGAGGAACAAAGTGTTCTTTAATCACCAGCGACTGATTTGTGACTGTTAAAACAGGTTTTCATATACTTACCTCTTCCATGCCAGATTGTTAGCCTTTTATTGTTAACTTCTTTAGGAAATGGTATTTTTTTTATGTTTCAACATTTTTAGAGTGAAATAACTTGGAAATACAATAAAGTTTTGTAAATCCTTGTTTTGTATTGTATAAAGATTATTTTAGKACTTTTGTTAAGGTGTACTCGAAGAGAAATAGTACTAGTGAAATTAGGTGAATTCTGTAAATGTGTTTGTATGCTCTAGTTCTGATTTTCGTGTACAGTRTTTTTTTTGTTAATTCTAGTGTAAACCGAGTGAAATATGACTTTAAGCCATCTCAGGAAACACATGTATTGTCTTGGAAAGTTTTAATTTGTTAAACCAGMTTTGGAAACATAAACATAATTCTGTAATTACTGAGTTTTGTATTTTAAAAAAATTATATTTGGAACAGAAGTAGACATATCTTGACCAGAGTAAAACAAAGTCTGTTTAGTGTTAGTCTCTTTTAAGTTTAACCAACACATAAAACATCAGATTTAAATAAATGCAACTGTGCTTTCTGGACTGAACTTTTTAGAATAGCATAGAATGAATCAAACTTTGTTAAACAAATGATGGTGGTACATGTGTAGCATCTTATTTTTATTGATTTGTATCAGGAATTTTCAATTTTGCTTTTAACTTTTACCTGTGACTGGCATCTTTGCCTAGAGGAGTCTTGTTGTATGTGTGTAACACACTTGAGCGTGTTGAAGAAAACAAAAGCTTCTTGTTTTTAGGACTTGCCTATATGTGCATAAGATCCATTCTTAAACCCACCAGTGGTCACTATATTTGTAGAATAAATAGAAATAGTTCGAACTCAGGACATAGTCTTAACATGGCATGTTAAATCTGCAATAGATAGGAGTATTCTGAAAGTACCAGGATTTTACACAGCAGGTGGAAGCTAAKTTAAAAAAAAATAATAATTCAGTTTTCAAACATACATGTTTTGTCTTTAGCTTCTTCTACATTTCACAGATTTTTTTTCATGATCCTAACTTATGCTTAGGTTGAAAAGCACAGGGAATCAAAATTTCATATTTAGTAACATGAGATACACTATTCCTGTGCTTATTCCAAGTCTGTTTCAGGATAAGTATACTCTGCAGTACTACCTCCMGGCACAACTTTAAACTGAAAGAAGGAAGAAGCTGWAGTTTGCTAACTGTGTCTCTCTTGCTTGTATGACCCTAATCTAAAGTTTGTCACAGACATCATCCCTCAGTTGATTTTGTGTTAATCCTACCTCTCCGGGCAGATACCTGCTCAGAGAAGTGAGCCATAAATGATTTCATACTTCCAASCTTTGTGGCATTACCTGCTTGATGGTGAGAATGCTTAAATCTTCATCAAAAGGGGCAGCTATCGCTGTTGCTATGTAGCTGTAGCACACACCAGCAAAACTGATGTGACTTGACAGCAAGTTGTAGGTAGACAAGCACTGATAACCCGGTTAAGCATGTCATCAAGAAACGTGGTCAAAGTATCAAGTGTAAGATTTTTTTTTTTTTCAACTTGACAGACGCTGTAGAGCTCACTAGAAGTTACAGGGTGCCTGACTGAGTCCTCTCTGTTACAGTTATTGTGTCCTCTCCTTTGTAATTTAATGCRGTTTACTTTGTGTGTTTGGTGATCTTGGGGAAACAGATCTGTTGGTGTCTGCCGTTCTTTAAGAGACTAAAGCTATAATCTGTTCCCAGTTAGACGGGAGAAGAAACTGGGTTTGGAAAGGGGGAAAAAAAAAAAAGGATAAAAAAAGGATTCATGACAAAAGTGAGACTGTTAGAGGTGGGACTGCTTATACAGCAGCCACTATCAGCTGCTTTTGCACAGTACAAAGATAGATTTTCCCACTTTGGCTTTCCAGTTGACCCAGGGAGCAAAGCCACTCACCTCTAGTAATAACTGATAACTGCTGGGACCTGGTATCAGACATCAGCAAAGCTAAATGTTCCAGAAAGAATTGAGGGAATAATACTGAAGCGCTTTTTGATCAGTACAGACCTTCTACAATGCCATCTGTTAGGTTGCTGCTCCTGTGCACTTCAAGATGTCACTTGGCACTTATAATTACATCATACTCTGAAAGACTCCAGTAATTTGGTCAAGAATCATCAAGAAATTAAAATACGGATGTGATAAGCTTACTAAACTCACCATACTGCACCACAAGCTTAAAGATAATTCAGCTTTTTTTTTACTTCTAAGATTAATTCTATAATTGCAGTAAGATGGTCAAAATTTTATAAAATGTCACTGTTGAATAGCTGTAAAATGCATGAACGCATGTTCATAACTATAAATATAATGTACCTAAAGCCAATTTAAGCTTTTTTTTTTGTTGTTGGTGGGACACTGTAGTATCCAGGAAGTTTAAACACTCACTTCCTTGCTGTTGATCTTTTGTCCTTTTTCCTCATGTGGCARACATTGTTTTCATGCGTGTTTCTAATGGAGATAGAATACATCACTTCCTCATTTGTTTGTGGAGCCTTTTCGTAATCACAATATTCCCAGGAATACAAATGCCTCCTTTCTTCATGAGCCCATGAAACTAAACCATACCTGTCTTGTTAACAAGTGGATTCTTTGGCACTGAATGCGATAACACTACGGACCCTATATCCTTTCTCAGAAGAATTTTTGCATCTTAAGTCAGTGAACTCTGCTTTTGGATGGGTACATCCGAAAGTTTCTGTCTCTTCTGTCCCATACAAGTTATGCAAATCCTTTATAATAAGTGAAGAAGAAGCAAGTCTTGATGAAAAATGACRGAATGCATATGGAACAGAGGCTTCAGTAAAAGGATTTTTTTTTTTTTTTTAATAAGAAATAGGTACTGAGAGTTACATTTTTTATGTCAACACTGGGAACACTTTGCAAGAGGAAATGCTCCTAGGAAACAAATTGGATAACTACTTTYGTGATCAAGTTGCTTTTGTTTTCATGTAAGGTCTGTCTTTACCCTCTGTTTATATAAATGGATTGATTGTACATCTGGAGGGAAAATTTGAAACATGCATATATGGATAGTGTACAAATATCTGTTCTTTAGAGGCTCCCTCCTAAAGAAGATTTTTAAACTGTTTGGCTGAGTTATACCTGTGATTAATCTAACTGACACCAAAGGCTATATACTCATGCAATCAAGATATGTAAGTATTCAGGATGTAAGTTTGAACAATGCACCATCCACTTGTCTCTYCCACTTCTTCACCAACTTTTCAGTAAACTACAGCATTTTTTTCTGATTCAAATTCATACACTTTTGTGTATGAGGCAAGACTGTCTTGAACTGAATTAAACTTTTTGAAATATTTCCTTAAATATTTAAGGAGTAGAAAGTTTGTCTTCCCATCTCCAAATTTTGGCACTTGCCTTTTGCAAACCTCCTTTATCGAGAAAGAAAAGAGAGGGTTGGTTGCATTGCTTGCTGAAGAATCTCATAATGCATTTGGTGGCTTTAGTYACTCGCAAGGTGGGTCCTAGTTCTAGGTTAACTTTTCTGTTAAGTTGCCACTGCTGAGACAAGTACTTCTTACCACAAATGGAGAAGGGAAATCATGAAGTTATATTAACAACTGCAACGTGAGTRTAGTTCCAGCATTCAGCTGTTTGTTAGTTCACAAACATTTTCTTGCCTACACTACTTTTGCTTTCCACTGAATGCCCTTAGGATGCACAAAGAGCTGAATCAGTTTCATTACCTGACCTTTTTGCTAAAATGGGTGCTGATTTGATGATTTAGAGCTTAAGAACGTTTTCTCAGCCTAGAGTTTGGGCATTCCCTACACTAGGCTTTCTTCTTAAAGCTTTGGAGAGTTGCTTGTAAGACCTTTATTTCATCCTCATTACTACTTTCCCGGCACTACGAAACCTTGGAGTATCAGCCTGAAAACAGCTGGGGAGATGCTTCGTGCCCAAACAGGGGTAGGAAAATACCCTCCTTCTCCAGAACATTGCAACAAGGTGCCATTTAGCTCCAGAAGGTATTTTAACCCAAACACTAATTACCCATTCTTTTCCATCACCTTTGCTGGATTTTGTATTATACCAGCTAATACACCACATAGCTTGTCAGTTTTYAGACAAATTTACCATATGTGTAGGTTAACCCCTAAAGTGCAGGCACATTTTATTCATCTGCAGTAAAGTCACAGCTGACTTTCAGTAGCCTTCATTCATTATCTTCATTCCTTTCTAATCAATACATGCAGGCATCTGTATATAAAAAGTAACTCATAGATGACAAAAAGGGAGGGGAGGCAAGAGGAGCAGGAAGGGAGAGAAGGGCTGGGCCARTAAAATCCCAGAGTGGAGTTCTTAGAGCTATTAAAGAGTAGGAAATGAATTAAACCAAGGCTGCTCATGTTGGAAAAAGCACCATCCCATTCCCTAATAAAATGGGAAAAAAATGTTTCACAAAGATAATTTCATAGTCAAAAAAAAAGAAGTCCTGTGCAGCTTGGTTGTGAACTGGTTGGTTCATATTTTTCTTCTGGAGGAACACTGTCTAATTCCTCATAGCTTGAGGGCTGCTCCATCATTGCAATCAGGCTCCTTCAATTAGAAATCATTAAGTCACCAAGCTGTGTGCCAGGGYTGAACTTTTCAAGTTGAAGACCCTTACCTGGGCATTACGTTGTGCACAGGACGTGATGGAATATGGGAGGAGAGACGTCACTATAGTTCAGGTTAACCTTACCAACCATGTTAGTGCGCTTCCTCCTCCTTCATTTTTCCAAGCCTTGGGTGAGCCACAGCACTATTGGAATCAAGAACAAAAGGATTAAATTTTTTCTTTTATCCGTTTGTTACTGACAGCATCCTAGGAGGCAAAGACTTCAACATCATTTCAAGCTGAAATTTTTAACATTATTTTAGGGTGGGTTGCATTTATTTTTTTAAGAAAGAAAGCTCTCTGCCTCTATTACACTATTTTTATGGGCAGCCAAGATTGTGCTGCTTGATGCTATATTAAAATAACCTTTCTGGTAGCCATCTGTTTTTCTTTTGCCCAGTCTAATTGCAGAGAGTTTAAAAGCTGTTAGCATGGATTCAACAAGTGATTGCTTTGGGTTTCAATCTTATTTTCATGGGGAAATTCCTGAAGTGGGACTACTGAGTGTGATGTTGATACAACTCAGTATAAATAATAAAAAAAAAGTGGAAGAACAAAAACTCTTCCAGAGTGATGGAAATGATTTCCCTTTTTTTTGTCAAGCATCACACTTAAGCTAAGTAAGGCTGAAGCAAGAGAAAAGGAATTAAGCTAATTGACAAATTCTGTGGCAGAAGTTACACTGCAAAAACCACAAATAATGCAGAGCAAACATGACATTTAGAAACAGTGATTGCCAACTGGGGAACAGTATCAGCAGTAACTGGATTATAAAACAGTAGTTGCATAGCACTTGGAAAATCAAACCACTGCCTCCTGTGGCTTAATGAAGATTTTTAGATCAATGTAAAAGGAGGCTTTGATTATAGACCTTAATAAACAGATGCTGGGGTCTGAAATGTTACAATTCCTACAGTTGAGTATGCAGAGGAGAATGTGTATTTTTCACCACTCCTCTGCAAACGCTACGTAATTTTCTCATTCCATGAGTTTTAAAGCTATAAATATTTTGTGTTTGAAGATCCCTGTGGACAGAAAGGGAGAATTAATACAGCAGAGGGGCCAGGCGTGCAGCATGGGTTGATAACTGCAGGAAGGTATCAAAAATCCATGTATAGATTCCTTGCAGTTCCTCTTTCCAACAGGTACTTCCCCTGTCTGTAAATTTTTAATAGCCTTCTGGTTGCCATAGCAATTAAATGACAATGCTTAGGAAAACCACCTGGATTTTCATTTCCAGATGCTAAGAAAGGGGCACGTGCACTGTGCAACAGGTCGAGAAACTCTGYTCAAACAGCAGAAAACTCAATTTTCAGATGAACGAACTGCCAAATTGCAGATCT